CATTAATGTAATGCTAACAAGATGGAATCCTTCTCCCATAGGGGTAATATTACAGCGGCATCTCCGTAGTTGTTCTTTTTTGCAAATCACTCAGCTTATCTGAAAGGAGGCGATCGATGCGCAGCATTACAGTAAATAGATAAACTAGCGCTGCTGTAAGGGTTAGCGTCTGAGCCAACCATTATAGTGTGCAGATGAGGAGGAACGATTAGCACGCATTTGCTTGCGCCGTGCCCTTCACAGACACCTGGTGCCATAGCAAAAGTCACTGCTGACAAGAATTCATGGAGACAGATTGTCTAAGCTTGCAATTTTAGTGGAAATGTAATCAATTATTTGCAAAACAGCAGTAGGCTGGTATTTAAGAGCTTTTTTGCGGTTCTTCGTTCATTAAATTTCCCAGAACTTGCTAACAACGATGTGGATGATTTTTGGACATTTTCCACCTGCCCCAGAGCGACCGGCCAGGCAGCACCATCAACACCAGGGCAAGCCACCTGGAGCTCCACTCACGTCTTTGAGAAGCTAGTGGAAACATGCAGGAATAATCTGACTCCTTAAAGGTTATCACAGGTTCAGCACCGTATGGCCTTAGGACACACAGAGAGTGATAAGAAGAGAGATAAGGTGATTAAAGAAGGAGAAACAAAATTTAGGACACCAAAAGAAAAGTAGGGGGAAAAAAAAACATTATGCAATAGTTACTCAAACCAGTTGTGTTCTAACCATTAAGTTGACAAAATTACACTGTATATTAAATCGAGAGATTACGTACTTAATATTAATTTTACTAAAATTACTATTAAAAAATTCATAGAAATGTTCTCTCCTCAAAAAGTAGTGTATGTGTGTATAAATACATGGAAATACTAAGCTGCACAACTCTCTCTTTTAAATCTAAATATACCGGTAATCTAAATATAATAATAATAATTATTATTATAATATTTTCATGTACATATACTGCTTAACATGGCTGTTTATTGCTGATTGTAATATTTAGGCATATTAAAGAAAATATAAAATACTTATTAAATAATATGTTCATAGAGTGAAAAAAATTGTCAGAAAAGAGCATTGCATAATGACGAAAAACATCCATAAAATTATATTAAGTAAATGTATATAAATATCAAGATATAACACTGAAGCATTAAGACAGGTTAAAGTAATATCGATATCACCCTTCCCTATTGGTGTACAGTTGATTTAGAAAATGTGTATATTATTATGTGTTTATATTTTATTTATGTCTAAAAATTACTTGCTTAACATTAATATTAGTATTAAAAATGTCCTGACCATTTTTACACATACACTCGCTCCGTTCAAAGTATGGAAAAAGGGGGAAATATTAAACAGCAAAACTATTTTCTTTTTTATATCTAAATATTACTATCATTATTATTATTTACATAAATATAATTTTTCTTAAAATAAAAATTCAAAATTGCTTATTATATTGGGGGCATATAAAAGAAAACCTTAAATACTCCTTGTGTTTATTTTGTAAAAATTGATTCCTTTAACATTTGGTAAAAAAAAACAAGAAAACAAGAAAAAGAAAAACACCCTTAATAATTATATTATTAAGCAAATACATAAATATCAATACGATATTTAGAACGCTGAAATCTATTGAGACAGATTGAAATTATTAAAATGAAAATGATCATAATGACCTATATTGCCCAGCCCTAGTTGTGTATAGTTGAATTTAAAAATGATTTAGTATAAGAAAGCATCAGCTTGCACTGACACAGCATGGAACATTAGAGAGTCAAACACTTATTTACTGATCATCTGGATCTAAGGATAACCATTGTACTTTGCTTCATGCTTGGCAGAGAGACTTTTCAACAAGTCAAGACAGGGCTGAACCTCTGTCATGAAAGTGAGGCGACTCTTTTATCCTCCGAAAGGGACCACTTCAGCGTTTGATTGGACAGGACGTGGGAGAATGACAGAAATGCCTCAGAGATCTTTACCTCCTCCTGAGCGTGTCAAGTAGATCTTTCAAAACAAGAGAGGAGGATAGCGGTGGATGTGTTTGCACAGCCTGACCCAACATGCTGCAAACACACACACACACACACACACACAGGTTAAAGTAACAAAAACTGCCATTATTTACTCACCCTCATGTTTTTCCAAACCCATATAAGTTTTTGTTTCTTCTATGGAACACAAGAAGAGATTTTTAAGAACGTGCTGCTCAGTCTTTTCCATGAGGACTGCAGCTTTCAAAATGCATAAAGGATGCAAAAGAACCATAGAGGTAGTCCATATGCTTTCTATTCAAAGTCTTTTGAAATATGATAACTTTATGTGAGGAACAGACCGAAATGTAATCATAATTCGCTAACAATTTTCTCCTCCGATGAGCTGTTAACCGCCATGACTGGATCAACGAGTCAGTCAGCTGAACTTGAGAACTGAATCGGTCTAATTAGTGAACAAATCATTCAGGTTTTGTGAACCGGATCAACTGATTCGTTCAAAAAAATCCAACTCATTCTAATGATCTAATTTTTGTCTGTTTTCTTAATAAAAAGCTAATATACGCATTTAGATAACTTGGAATAGAGTCATATTAAATACTTTTATGATGTTTTTGTGTTATTTTTTTAAACATTAAAGCTCCAGTTCCCATTTAGTGTAAATGCGTGGAACAGAGCGACCTGTTAGTTAAAGAGTTCTCCTTTCGCGTTCCATTGAAGAAAGAAATTTGGGTTTGTAGTGACACTAGCACGTAAATAATGACTTGATTTTTTTATCTTTTGGGTGAACTAATCCTCGAGTCGGATGCAATGCAGTTTCAACCTCTTCAAAAACTGAAGTTCATAAAAATTCATTATAATATTAAGGCCCACTTAAAATTTTCTGGAATTAATGACTGAATGACAAGGAGGCGCAGAGAACGAGAGTGAGAGTATGAGAGAGAAAAATCAATAAACACTAGATGGCCTGTAAAAGCATTATAAATATAAGTAGCATTTCTCCATTAAGGGAGATTTGGAAAACAGCAAATGCTAATGAGGAAGGCAAAGAGGCTATTGAAGTCCATTAGGAGCTCTCTCTAGTGAAAATAGTGGCTCTCTGAGGTTATCTACTGGCCAACGCCACTAGTTCCAGACCCACTATTCAAACCCGACTCCCATTTCCAAGTGACGGATAGGACAAATGTGCTTTCTGTGTACCAGCGAGGGGCCAAGGGAAGAGTGCAAAATGGATGATTCAAAAGCAACGCTTTTTATTTTCCAAACAAGGAACATTCTTATTCATTATAAATTCATTGTGATGCACAGCGTTGGAAAGAAGGGACATGACTTCACAGCTGAGCCAGAGTCACTTTGTGGGATTGGAAGGAGGCCACAAATCATGATCAGAAAACGACAAAATATTTCGTCGTGAGTTTGTGAGCAAGAAAAAAGCAAGAAAAAAAAGTGGTTTGTGCTTAAGAGGACAGTTCATGTAAGAATTTAACAATGGTTTCCTGATCCCAATCCTGCCAATTTCATCATCATTTATCACCATCACTGAAAGAGGTAAAAAGGCCAAATATGGGATTTCTAAAGAAAAGACTGAGTATATTTGATTTAAGAAGGGACAACTATTTTAAATTACGAATTATTCACAATTAATTGCATATACAACACATTCAAATTTGCTGAGAAAAGCAAGAAATTGAAGATAAATTTAAGACATTATATTATAGCGGCAGAATTATATTAAAAAGCATCTAATACAATTCACAAAAACTTGCACTGCATTGTGTCACATGATTTATGAGAGTCCATTTTATAAAAACAGTGAAAATGTTTAAAAAGTGTGTTAAACTATTTATTTTCACACCAGCAAGGCTAATGGTGAGAACAAAGTGAATCATAACATTACATACAACTAACAAAAAGCTTTATAACACATTTAGAATTAATATAGGCAGTGCTGGGAAGGTTACTTTAAAAATTTAACAGGTTACAGATTACAAGTTACCTTGTTTAAACTGAAATAAGTAGCGTAACTATTTCAATTACTTTATTGAAGTAATGTACCTGATTACACTTGATTACTTGTTGATTACTTTTCTAGATGTATAACAAATGTTTTCAGCTGTTAATCATTTTGAAACATTTAAAGCAGGCAGTAGTGCTCAACACTGATTACTGTCAGACTTCCGAAATCCTTCATCACTTGAATTAAGATTATAATTTAATTTTAAAGCACAGCCACCACAAAACAGACGTTAGCACCTCTTTTTACTTTGAGATCATTCTGAGGTTAAATAAAGATTTAAAATCATACCAAGATATAGTTTAATAGCTATGATACTTTTTTTGAAATTAAATCTTTGCATAGCTATGACAGGAAACACTGGCATCCAACAATGCCTTTGAAAAACACAGTTAATCATTATGAAATAAATGTTTTTCTCTAATACACGTTGGACACAATTATTGGCACCCCTAGAAATTATTATGAGTAAAATATCTCTGAAGTATATTCCCATTCATTTTCACAATTTTGAACATACCAGGGTGATTATGAACATGAAATTATTCAGCCATGGCTTCCTGTTTCACAGACATATAAATAGGAGGGAAAACAAAGCCCAAATTTCCTTAATCATCCATCACAATGAGAAAAACCAAAGAATATATTTCTGATGTGCAGCAAAAGATAAAGCCACTTCACTAATTTGTGAAGCTCAATTAAGAAATTATATATATAAAAAAAAAAGATCAAAAGGATTAACAATGCAGATTAATTTTCACAGCCTTCTTTGATCATATTTACCAACGGTGCTGATATTTTTGGCCATGACTGTACATAAACCCAAATAGGAAATAAAACCGTTATCGAATAAGCATGTGCCTATTCTATGCCCTAAACTCCTGAAACACTGGTGTCAGAGCAAGAGCTGTCAATGCACTATTGAAAACACAAACAAAAAAAGATATTATGTGAAGTTGAGCCTGCGCTTTTAAGTCGGTACTCACTTGAGAGGAATACGAGGGACTGCTGTGGGACTGGAGGCCGCGGTGACCACCTGTAGGATCTGTTCCAGTGCGGACAAACCCCCTCCTACCTGAAAAGCAACCTGATCTGCATTATTCTGAAAAAGAGAGATAGGGACAAGAGAGAGAAACCGTCAGAAACATGGCGAGGCGAGCACACTCAAGTATCGCATTGTTTTGGCATTGGTGGTATCCTCTCATTGCCCACCTCCTGCTTTCTAGAGGGGAGCTGGAGTGAAATTTGAAGCAAAGTGATCCCCAAAGAATTCCTGCTAAATCTCAAAAGTGCACAACCCCCCCAGAGCAACCAAAAACCCAAACAAGACAACAAACGCGCATATCTGCACACAAAGCAGGGGTGGTCTGGTTTGACAAAGAAGAGCTTAGGGAATACATAGAATAAGTCAATTTAGACTGGACAAAAAACCTTTTACGTCACAAATTCACAACTGAGCCAACAGTATGTATGAGTCAATGACAAAGACTGTTGAGGAAAAAAGAAAGAAAAACTTTTACTTAAAATACATGCAAAGTTCCTAGGACTGTGATCTTTGCATTCATGAAGTGATTTTGAAAAACTCATTCCATTTTTAACAAGTTTCAATTTGATGATTCTAAGAATGTCATGTGGTACAGCCATGTAAAAAGCTATATGTTCCTTGTGAGAATACGCATTTGAATAAACATTTATAAATATAAATTTTGTATATATTTTTCGAATATTTTTTTTCTTTCAAGTATCATGAATTAATTCATAAATCATAGCTTTAGTTACACCACATTCAATTTTACATTTAGTGCTGGGCAACGATTAATCGCATCCAAAATAAAAGTTTTTGTGCACATATGTGTGTGCGTGTACTGTGTATATTTATTATGTATATACAAATACACACACATGCATGTATATATTTAAGAAAAAATATATGTTTAGTTTATATACCAAATATATTATATGAATATGAATATATACCAGTACATTTAAATACATGTAAATATTTTCAAAATGTACTGTATGAGTGTATTTTCAAAATATATACTGTATGTGTGTGTCTTTATATATACACACACATTATAAATATACACAGTACACACACATATTATATAAACAAAAACTTTTATTTTGGATGTGATTAATCGTTGCCCAGCACTATTTACAATCTAAACTAACCTTGCCTTTTCATAAAAAGGCCAAATTATCTGATATTTCTAGAGACTTGTTAACCTCGACGGTAATGAGGGTCTGCTGGGGTCCTCCTTATGATTCCTGTTTTTTTTCCTGCATGTTGTTTACACCACATGACGTTGATTTGGCAAACAGTTTTTCAAATATTAATTAGTTAAACATTATTATCTCTAAGAAAATGAAATATTGTTTAACTTACTAATATTTGCAAAAACTGTTTGCCAAATCAACGTCATGTGGTGTAACCAACATGCACATAATAATAAACATGCAAATAATAACAACAGATTATGTCAAGCTACTTAAGATTTTTTCTTCATTATGATATCAGGACAATTGTATCCCTACCCAAAAAAATTGTCAAAATAAAAATATGCTCATTGGAAAAAACAAAACAAAAAAGAGTATTCAGTAACTGTGCGAATAAAATGTTAACATTTTCAAAACATTAACAGATACTGTACGACAAAAAATATGAGCATCACGTCATTGAACTGCATGCATTTTAAGTTATTTCAGGATTTTCTAATTGTCAAGGTTCAAATGCAACCTTCAGTTGTTGGTTATCATAGATATCAGCCATAAAACTTTTAAGAGGAGGGTCAACCAAACTGTGCCTGAAACTCATACGGAGCGAATGAGTGTCTTTGAGTAAGAAGAGACGTAAAACAGTCATTTAACTGACGTGCTTCTCAAATCAAACTGTTTACAGAGGGGACATTTTTACTTGCATCATAAAATTCTTTAAAGTTCAAAGTGGAACTCCTTTAAATGAGTCATACGGTTTAGAGTCCAAATTCCCCAGCTCCCTTACTTTGAGAAAAGGAAGTAAGTGCCTCAGAGGTTGGCGATGAGTTCGACCCCAATGTTGCCACAAAACGACACATAAATCAACAAATCTGAATTTGAAAGTGACAGCAGTTGAATCATGTATTTGGAGGATCGAAGAACACAGAAGAGAAGAAGAGAAGACAACTGAGAACGTTGCACCTACTCCATATAATGAGGTCAGATTCTCGTACGCTATGTGACGGCACTCAAAGTCAGGCACTTCAAGATGTTTTTGTTCAGGGGATGGCGGGGGCTGCCAACAAGCCTGAACATATTGAGCAGCAAACAGAGGAAGCGCTTTGCAAAATTACATATAAGCTCCTCTCTTGTCAATCACAAATGCCGCCAAAGACTCATTCCTGGAGATCCAGTGGCAAAGAGAAGGCTGAACCTCTGCCAGGGTTAAGAGATTGGAACAAGCTTGTTGTCAGATACACCAAAGGTGGAGCACGCTTGAACAGCGGCTGGGATTAAGAAAAGCTCACTGACAGCTAGGTGAAGACGGCCATGGAGCCTCGCTGCCTATAGCGTGAGGACGAACCCAGGTCGCAACAGTAAATCGAATGGGTTCACAGCGCACCCATCAGTACAGCCCTGTCAAATGCTCCAGAGGCAGGAGGGTTGGCCGCTCATGGTGGCCTATTTAAGAGGCATTTGGAGGGGTTAGCTGGGGCCTGTACGGTGATGGCGTGTGGAACTCAGTTCAGAGGGAGGTGTCTCACCTTGCCCTTTCTGGCTTATTGACAGATCCCCATGCTGAGCAAAGGATCTGGAATCTGGAGGAGTTCAGAAAAGGGATTGAAGATGAGATGATAAACAGTAGATTGTGAAGAAAGATACAAAGAGTTTAACGAAATACATGCTTAGCAAGGAATCTAATTAATACAATATGGAAAGTAAGGAGAAAGGCCTTGTTTGGGCAACAGAAAGAGCTGTAAAAAGTACTGAGAAATATATTTAAGCTATTGTGTCAAGAGTCAAAGTACTTCAATACTAAAAAAACAAAAAAATTATATGGGGTGAAAAGGACAATTTTTGCCTCTGAACTAGGAGTAAAATTATTCCATTTCAACAGTACTCAAACAATATTTGTATCAAGTACAGTAATGCAGTATCCCTGGCAACAAGTGGCAATCATAAACAGAATAAAAACTATAGTCTCATTACAAGCTATACATAAATGTCTTTCTTATTATTCTACAACCAGGCAAAATAAAACATGAGAAACAACATACCTGTATTTTATTAAACTGATTCTAAAGTAAACTGAAAAGCCTGTGCAGAAATATAATCTTCTAAATGACACATACTGTTGTGCTCTTCTGCACACTGTTACCAAAAATGCAACTTTAACATGCTGCCAGGGGCTTCCCATTCTCAATAATCATCTGGCATTGATACTGCTTTTCAGCAGGCCATGTCAGACGAGCAACCCAAATGTTTATTTATTTGCGACCAGCATGCCTCTACAATACCAGGAATAATGTGTTAACATGTCATTTGTAGCTTACATAACTAAGGAGGCACTGTGTTCCACTCGTGCGATTTTCTGGCAACAGAACAAAACAGTTCAATGCCACTACAAACAACACAGAAAAGGTGAGTAAAATTTAAGAAAAAAATCATGCCTACTGCAATAAATATTCAAAGTGCTTCATGAATATAAAAACAAATGCTTGCTAAAGTCAGTTCAAAAGCAGTATGTAACAGTTCGGCAGCAGCATTAAACAAAGCTACCTGGTGTGGCGTCTCCACTCTGAATTCATTTGTGAACTTGGTCACGATACTATGCAATCACATTAATCATCGAGGCATACTGTAATATGACAAAACGTCACATGGCATGTCATAAAAAACATGCTTGGAAGTGATGTGCAAAGCTGGTACTAATCCTTGATTCTGCACAGAGTGCCGTGGCATTTGCCTGGTGTACTGACCTCCTTCAACAAACACTTCACTGACACTATAATAGGATGAGAGCTTGCGTTTTTCTAATAGGGAATTCAAACAGAAGACCTGAAAACAGATCAAATGGTTAGAGAGCAGGGAGGGTGCAGAGTAAATCTAAATTATACGGCTTGAACAATCTTATTCAATTACTAACAAGAGTGGCCATTTTAGGCAAGGCTAATCAAAGGGCCAGGCAGCTGCGCTTCCCGCTGGCCAGCCAGGACAAGGGTACGGGTGTGGGGTACACGTTAAGTGTGAGGGAGGGCTGGATGTGTCTGCGTGTTCACCTCCTACAAACCATTCTAATTAGCCGACATGAAAAGTCAGGGGGAGGGGAATGCTCCTAAAATGCTGCATCCCCCTTCTTGCAACAGATGGAGAACAACTGGCTGGGGCGTTCATTGACAAAGGGGTTCACCAAGGTTCCGCCTTAGGCCCATCCATCTTTTGGCAAGTGGCGCACTGATGTAAACATGCCCCCTCCAGTTACAGCGACAGCTCCAAATCTCAGAATGAATAAGAGTGCTGGCATGCAGATGAGGTACAAGTCTGTGTTTTGTTCTCAAGAAGAAGTATAGAAATACACAAAGTAGTATAAACACTGTTCCCATTTAGTGAAGAGGCCTGTGCTGACATAAGAAAGGAAAAAAGCTGTAAACCACATCAAGAGCATTGCAGACAGTAAAGCAATAAGTTAGTTTTTACAAGGTTTAATAGCACACATTTAAGTACACACTGGAAGATAATTTGCGGGAGCAAGAAACAATTTAGGAGGAAGTATTCAGTTTTAGGATAACAATAGAAACTAACTGTTCATTGGAAACAAGTGAAGATTATCAAAAGGAACTTCGGGAATTTTGAAGAGTGTATGTCAGTTACAAACTGGAACCACAGTACATGCTGCATAACCCAAAAATCAGCCACCCAAGGGCATTGCTTTCCACCATGGATTTCTGACTCTTCTAATAGCTTTCTTCATGCCCCTTCAAACATGCACCTGAGGGGAAACATGAATCCTCTACTCTCTTACAGTCACAAGTAACAGCCAAGTGGAACAATAGAATTACTAGGCAATTAGGGTTTGAAAATGACATTACTGACAGCACATGGTGAAGGAATGTAAAACTATGTCCATGTTTTTTTTTTAACTAGATAATTCCCAAAGCTCGATCTGTCCCTCAGCAGCAGAGAGGCAACACCCAATCACCTCACATCTTTATGAAGAGGCTTGTTGAAAAATTTAGTTCTCGTCATGCATTTCAATGATCCTAAAACCAACAACTACAATTTGTTCTCTTGTCAGTTGGTGTTTGAGGTCAAAAAAATGAAACCTGCAAGTTTCGAAAATATACTTGATGTATGTGTTTTTGTTGTTTTTAATGTTATGAATGTTTATAAATTAACACAAAAGACCAGAGGTTGGTCGCATAAAATGCTTAGACTAGCCTTACAAGTCTAATTTTCTTCTTTAAGATTGGTAATTTTTTTAAGTTGGTTACATAAAAACCTATATTTTGAATCTGAAAAATAAGACTCATCACCCCTTAGCTAACTGCTAGTTGGTCAGACTTGTTCCAAAGAGACTATCTTAATACAGAGGCTAATTTTATGCAACTGGCCTCTGTGGTTCCCAACTTTGGGTCCTTGAGTACCCCCAACACTCCACATTTTGAGATCACCCTTATCTTACACACCTATTTTTTGTCTTGGAGTTTCTTCTAATGAGTTCAATTAGATGTGTTTGATTAGGGAGACTCAGGGTTGGAAACCACTGCTATATACAATCCGGGAATGAATCAAACATATGGCAGGAGGTAAAAGTTTGGCCACCTATTGGATTGGACAGCAGACTTCACCTCTTGCTTAATAATCTTCAAGCAACACTGACAGAGTCAATCACTAATGTTCTTCTCCACTCTCAACCAAGGCTTCCGCCAACATTTGCTGGATCCTTTCTCCACCCCAGGTCATCAAACATGGATTGAGGGCAAGTACAATGCTGGAAGGGCCCCTTGGCGCCTCTTTCCACAGCCTTGGGCCTCTTGATCAGGTACAGCTAGCCACCAGTTGGCCACCAAGGGGAGCCAACCCCTGACAGCTGGCAAATGAAAATGTAAATACTGGCTGGCCCAGCAGGCCCAGAATGTTCCTTACAGTCCCTCAAGTGTCATAAAGGCAGTTGATCTCGGCCTGTTCTTTATTTGAAAGCAGTGACAAACACTCCCTGGCAGAATGTAAATACGTGAGCTCATTCCGCTAAGGTAAGAGAGCGCAGATCAGAGGAACAAGAAACTCTCCTGAATATTCCTAAATGACAAGAAGGGAAAAAAGGCTCTTCGATCAGCCAGTTCTCCCGGAGACAAACTGAAACCTGGTTTGACACAAAATAAACCATTAGAGGGCTCAGAGGGAGAGGCGGGCAAAGGTCGGAGACTGTGCCCAAGCAAAGTCAGCATGAGGAACTAGGAGTGGGGGAGGCCACACTGCTTGAGGGGCTAGAAAGGGCGCGGAGAGTCTGGTGTTGTTCGAGGAATTAGTGGAGAAAGTGGAGACTGAATCAGATATGGGTATGAGGGAAAAAAAACAAATCTGTAGGTGAGTCAGTGACATGAGAGATGCTTGTTAGGTCAAATAATCTAAACGTTCTTGACTTGAGGTGATGCTGAGGGGGAAGGGGTGTACGCAGACTCCCAATAAAGTGGGAGACGAGTATTTATTTGACTTTTTCCTGGGATTACAGGCGGAACTGCCTTGACAACTAGGGTTCACAGACTTGCCCAGTTTGGTGGCATGCAGACCTTAGCTGGACACTGAAGGAAGCGGGTTTCAGGAATCCACTGCTGTGACTGACAGTCTAAATGAAGTCCAGATACTGTACTCTTAAGAGAGAGCCTTATTCCCAAAAGGCCACAAGAAAGAGCCTGAGGAGCTGACATTTCCACAAGCACTTCACCGTTCCAGCGACTTACAAAAACAAAGACAGCGGGAGTTCTTTAAAGCAAGGTCTCTGTGGAAATCTCCAGAACGAGTTTGTATAGGAGGCCTTAGGGACAATACACAAGAAATGTACTCATGTTCTTGATAGAAGCTGTCATTCAGAGACACTTCTAAGCAGTACAGGGCCTGGAGAGGGTGATGAGATGACAAGGCCTGATCTGAGAAAATCTGTTGAAGGGAATCTGAAGCATGTTGGCCATATTGTAAGTGTTAAGTAACCTCAGACCTACCTTGCTAGATTTAAGGTATAATAAACAGGTTGTTAAAAGAATCTGCTGGGTTAATTTTAACTGATTGTTTCATCCCCTTCAATCCAATCTAGCAGCTTATGATATCCTCTCCTCCCCTCCCTCAGCCCTCCTCCTTACCCATTAGCTCAGCTTTACCACCCTTTTCTGTCTCTCTTACCTTACTCCTCTCCCTCCAGAAAGACCATTAACAACCCACATCTCCTCCCACTGGTCAATACAAGCACACCATCAATGCACCATTCATCCACCCACAAACACACACCCACCAAACCACACATCCCTTCATTTGATGAGTGTATTACAGAATGGCACTTGTCATTACCAAAATGTGACGCGTCACCAATCCATTTCTCCTTTATTGATCTAGAGAGGTATACTAGAGATGGGGCACTATGGTCGACCAAATACTGACTAGTTGATTAGTCAAGGCGACTAGAATAGGTTTTACAGTGTTTGTTAACTTTAGTGGCAGTGCTTTCATTAGCATTCTTTTTTAACAGCATTAGCTTTTAGCCAGTTTACACCGCAAGAACAAAAACTATAATTATAACTAAAACAATAACGATATTAGCATCCACACCAACACACAATACCATTGTGTTTATTATAAGTTTGAACTGCAGTTATAACTTCTGCTGCTTCAAGTTCAGTCAGGTGGATTCTGATTGGCTGTCAATGTTTTTAAATGGCTCATCAGCTGGATTCCAATGATTTTATTCTTCTGTGGCGTTAACGTTATAGTTGTGGTGTGGGATTCCCTATTCTCTTAGAATTAGAAGGATTGTTAAAACTTTATAATTATAGTTAATCGCCCTTGGTGTGAATGGGCCTTTAGAAGAACATCTTGTACTGCTGTCACTCCTCATAGCTTTTTGAGTGTCCAGCGACACAGACACACACACACACAGCATTTCAAGCGTCCAAGCTTTAATTGTGTCTTAAGTCTCCTGCACCGTTTCATTCTATTTAGCCATTTTTGGATGCAAAAACATGTCTTATGTAAACAGCCCCCAAGGTTCAACTGGGGTCAAGTGAACCTGAAACCAGTCTAATTATACAGGGGTTCCAGTTCACACTGATTAGTCAACTAGTCGTTCAGGCAACCCACAAATGAGTTTCTCTGGAAAAATCGGTTTGTCATACACAAACACTAAATTCAGGCACTTCACTAATTACAAGATAACATTACGCAATATTTTTGCAAACACAATGCAATGGATTACAAGAGTAAATTTGGCTATCAGTGAAACACAATCATCGTTAAATCATCATTACCATATTAAGAAACTTTTTAAATGAACAGCTGAATTGAATTTCAGAACAGCTTATCTTTTAAAACATTATCAAATACGTCAAAAGTCAACAGCTCTTTTATAATTGATGGATATAATCTTTTAGCTATTACTGAATTGTGGGATATTAGTAGAGCTCTGTTATGGCAGCATACTAAAAAAAAAAACTTGAGTGATCGCCAAAACGCATCTTCAAAAGCTTCCCTGCTTTATAATTTAAGTCGTTTGGATTATGTTTACTATTTGAAAAACCAACATATTTTTGTATAAAAGCCACAATGCACAACAGTAGCCAGCCAAATGCTCGGAAACATGTTCGCCTGTTTGACAAACGGGGATCTCCGCCAATTAATAACATCTGCAGCAATGAAAACAAGCACCTAACCTGGCCCTCATTACTAAATAACCGAGGGCAGAGAGTTGGGGATGGAAAGCGATACTCTGCATAGACTGCGAGACGGGGAGGACGACAGCCAAAGCCGGCGGTTCAGTGGAGTCGGTGTTGAGAGCAGCCTAGAGGCTTATCTTCAAGTCAAATCCCTTCACACACACACACACACACACACACACACACAAACGCACTCAATCCACATAGACTAGACTTCAGACAATAAACCCCCCAAGCCACTGACATAAACTGGTCTGAACACTGCTCAGATGCTTACAGTCCCAGAAGAATCCTGGTGTGACTGTGCAGTAGTAAAGATGAACAGATAAACAGCCGTTTAAACAGCAGACATCATATATCCATTCAGTCATTACTGGTATCTCCAGCTTTCTCCGGTCAGCAAATAGCACTGCATTCTGAATTGAAGTTCTGGAGTCTTTTCAGGAATATTATTTTAGACGGCATGTCCCTCTACAGGGACACCAGAACAGACCAGAGAGACAGATTATGAGATATATGTACAAACCTGTTTCTCCAGAATGCGGGAGAGTTCTCCCAGGGTTCTGTCCAGGCCAGACACTTTGTTACTGGCCCATTGGCCACTGTCCTGCCCCTGCTGCTGCTTTACTAGATCCTTCACCAGACGCTGAAGCCTGGAAGCAAAGATACATACACAACTGGGTCAAAACACGTTCGGGTCACACCAACCCCCCAAAAATAATTATTTAAAACACAGCCTTATTTTAATTTTGCATTATTTTCACAATAATTTACCACATTTCTGCTCCCTTATTCTTACTACTGGATTGTGAAAACAAATGTTTAAATTGTAAGGTATTTATATACCAAAGTAGTTTACATTTGATTGTTATTTTTTGTACTACCTTTAAATGATCCTGATTTAAACATAAAAACAACTCGGCATTATTAAACATATTATACAATAATAACAATTATTGTAATAATTAGTAATTAAAATATAATTTATATAAAATGTATATCAAGATACTTGTTTGTTATTGATATTAATTTATTACGCCACATATGTATTTGGCTTTCATTTGTTTTATTAAAATTTTAGTTTTAGTAATTTTAGCAAGTTCAGTAAGGAATTTTTGTACGTTTTTCCATCTAATAATTTTATATTTTTAATTTCAACTTTCTTTCAATTAAAGAGACATATTTTTAATAGCTTTATTTAATAACAACAACACTGAACCTGCAAGTTTCACCTAATTATATGCGCTACATATTGCTCTGGTTTATCTATAACCATACTCCTTTCCGAAAGTTTCAGCATTTTTTTTTATAATTTTATTTAAAAATAAATTTAAATAATTTAAAAAATAAAATATTATGCCCTTTTCAGGGACTGCTGGAATGTCACAGGTGTAGGTGATTTCACGTTTTACTATCATTGTGCAAAAGCACAAACCTGATCCACACAAAGCAAAATAGCAAGAATTATAGACTGTAAGACGAGATGTGTGACAACACCGCTTAGATATCAGTATTGCATTGCATTGCATTTAATGGGCAAAACTAAAAAGGTTTGATTACGGAAAGCCCAGTGCTGGCATAATTTCTGAAGCTTGGATTTAAAAAGACAGCATTAAGACACGAGAACTCGGTAGAAGACCTCAGCTTGGGTATATGATCCTTAAAAGTGGAGCGGGGAGCTTACTTTGCCTTGTAAGGAGAGTCGGGGGTCTGGGTCTTGGCTTCCATGCATGTCTCATACTCCTTAGCCCTGAAAAAGAAAGACAAATAAGTCTGTCAGAAAGAGACGGAAAGATAGACAGAGAGCCAGAGAGGAGTCCGATGGCTGTCAGCCTGAAGACATGAGGAGATAAGACGATGTGCTGAACAAAGAAAATGTCAAGAGGTCAAGCTGAGCCTCAAACTGTTTATTTAGTCTTTGGGCCGCACTAGCAGCAATCAAAAACTAACAAGCATGAACGAGTCACAAACGCTCAGTCTTCAGAGAGGTATCACAGCAGAGGATGTTGTTTCACAGCAGGGAATACCAAACTCTCCAATAACCACACTATTTAAGTTCAGAAATCAAAATAAATAAGATTGATTGGCCGATGGGTGTGAATTACTCCTTTTACATTCCCTCATGAGTCACAGACCAAAATAATGTGTGCTGTCAGTCAGCTCAAGCACGCTGGTGTGGTCCAACAAGCATAATTCCTGACAATCACACATCCCATTCCGTCAGATAAGGATGATCGATCAGCTCCTGAAAAAAAAACGCTTGACGGATGGATGTTCAGGGGTCTGATAAACGCCGACGTCACTTTACGGAAGACAACGTCAGGGAGCAGAGTGGTCACAAGACTTTTAATAGTTTAATCTTGATTTGACTTGAAATTAATTTTGGTTTAACCCAAATAGTATTGTATACACTGCTAAATAAGAAACAAATGTAATTTTCAATCAACTTTTTCAAAAACTTTTCAGCCTTAAGGAAGCTCCATATATTTAGACTGTTTAAAGAACTATAACCGGTTATTAAAATTTGAATTTCTCCGTTCGGGCAGAGAATTCTACCAATTATGCATAACAAGAAAGTCGTTCACAGCAGGTTATTTTGAAGTCTCATCTGAATATAATTCAACAGAATGACTAACTAAATAATAATAGAATGAATGAATGAATGAATGAACGAACAAACGAGTGAATGACAATAATAAAATGAATGAATTAATAAATAAACAAATACAATGAATGACAAACAGAATGAAAGAATAAGTGAAGAATGAATGAATGACTAAAATTTAATAAATGACTAAGCAAGCAAAATGAATAAGTGAATGAATGAATAATAAATAGATTGAATGACTAAATAAACAATGAATGAATAAATAAGTGAAGAATGAATCAAACCGAATGAATCAATTAATGAATGACTAAATAAATTGAATAAATGACTAAGCAAGCAAAATGAATAAGTGAATGAATGAATAATAGATAGATTGAATGATTAAATAAACAATAAATGAATATTAAATAGAATGAATGACAAACAGAATGAAAGAATAAGTGAAGAATGAATGAATGAATCAAACAGAATGAATCAATCAATGACTAAATAAATTGAATAAATGACTAAGCAAGCAAAATGAATAAGTGAATGAATGAATAATAGATAGATTGAATGATTAAATAAACAATAAATGAATATTAAATAGAATGAATGACAAACAGAATGAAAGAATAAGTGAAGAATGAATGAATCAATCAATGACTAAATAAATTGAATAAATGACTAAGCAAGCAAAATGAATAAGTGAATGAATGAATAATAAATAGATTGAATGAATGAATAATAGATTTGAATGACTAAACAATGAATTAATTAATTAATGACTAAGAATAAATTACTAAATAATAAACCGAATGAATAATTAAATGAATGAATGAATGAAAAAAACAATGAATGAATGAACAAACAGTGGAAATTGAATTTTTTGGTAGATGTTGGGTTGAGGTGGATACATTTCTAGTACTGATCTGTAGGAAGCAATAAATCACACTAAAGTGCTCATTTGAATAGTGACTTCAAGTGATTTTATGGTGTCACAAAGGACAGGAGACTTTGGAGATTCAACAGGGCTATGTGATGATCCCTTAACCCTAAGCCTTGACTATTAAGATACTTAACAATAACTTCACTATTAACACAGTTATGTTTAACTCCACCTTATTTTAAGTGACTGTAGCATAGCATGCTTTACAAATTCTGAACAATGATTTAAATGTGCTCGGATTTTAGGAGTGAAACGATGCTCGCCAAGCCTCGAGATTTGAGCAGTGGTGTGCTCGGAGAAAGATTGTGAACCGAACCTGGCCTCGTCCTCATCCTCCAGATTACAATATTCCTCTTTGACAGCTTTACGCTTGCACGGGTTAAACAGAGGGGCAATCGCCGGACTATCAATCTCTGAACACGGCAGGCCCCATTAAACGGGCCGGGCACCATAAATATTAGTAACCAGCTATAAGTGGGGGGGCAGCTACAAAGCTACAATGCAGAGCTAATCATCAATTCATCACGATGTGCCCCACTATTCACCTCCGCCCACGCTGGACGCAGACGGCCCCCTCCCCCAATCGACTGTAAAACCGTCAATGCCTTCCGACGGATAAAAAAAAAAAAAAGAAAACAAACACAGTGTATCCGTTTTAAATGTGCTATGGGAGGCTCAGGCGTTCGGCACTCCCAATTACAGAGAACATTTGGTTGGGCAGCGGTGCAATATTTAATATTGGATTTGAGAGGCTCTCAATCAAATGGAAGACAATTTGACTGATGATGAATAAAAGGACGAGGAAAAGGGAGGGAAAAATGTGACCTGTGGAACATATCCACCAAGAGGAATGAGGCTGGATCTATCTATAAATTCAACAAATGCATATAAGGGGTTATATGTGGAATATATATTGGATACATCCCGAGATTAAAAAGATTTACATGCACCTGATGGTAAATAAAGGTCTGAGGTAAGCAGAGTCCAAGTGTCTTAAAGTTGAAACTATCGGAGCTGCAGTCTAGTGGTTGTTCCAAATGGAACACTTCTAAATGTGGACTTGTCTAATAACCTTAACTTGCAAGTATCCCCAAAGTTCACAAGATTGTATGGTGTCCCATCTGTTTTAGGATTCAGAAGGGTGCCCACAAACTTAAATCTTTATTGTGACCACAAGGTGTCCTTTATGTTGCCTTTGGCAGAGATCGCACTTATTGCTGCAAAAAACTATTGTCACTAAATGTCACCAACATTTGGACACACAGGAGGATGGAAAGGGTCCAAAGGCCACACTTGATGTGAACTTGAAGACTTGTGGTCTTTGCCACTGACCATATGGGGTATCCAATTTATCAGGTTGCAAATGGGTGCTTACAAGTGTGTCCTTTGTGGATGCCATGATCCCTCAAATGTGTCCTTTTTCTGAGCCTGAACTGGTGCAGAATTCACAGCAGACAACATCACAGCAGTCTATGCAATGTTGTGTCACCAACATTTGGACTCAAAGGACGGAAAGGTTCTAAAGGACAAACTTGGTATGAACTTGAAGACTTCTTGTCATTGACACACTGACCATATTATAGGGTGTGTCCCATTTGTCAGTTTGCAAAATGGTGCTTCAACTGCCCCCTTTGTGGCCGCTATGTTCCCTCAATGTGTCCTTTTGCTGAGCCCGAACTGAGACACTAACATGTGGACTCAGAGGAGGGCAGCAAGGATGTGCATGTGAATTTGCAGACTTGTGTTTGCTGTACTGACTGTATCAGTGTCCCATTTGTCAGTTTATCATGCAGACGTGTACTCTTAAGAACCTACTTTATGGCTGCTATGCACTCTTATCCTTTGGCCAATTCGGCACTTGTGGTCTCTGGGAGTGCAGAACAGGGAGTCTTTTGTGTGCCGCCCCCTCTGAGGTAGACCAACACATAGAGCCCACTGTTCTCAAGCCTGGGGACAAGACAAGCAATGCAACCAGCCAAACATCATACACGAGAGAGAAAGGGCCATCAGAGAGAGAGGGAAAGAGTTAAGAGCGAGAGACTTTGAAAGTTTAAAGCCCACATCCAATGCTGACACGGGCGGATATGCTACTTTCATGGTAATTAAAACCACACGTTTGCACACGAAGAACAAGCTATATATTTGAAGAATAAATCAGGGTCCAGCTAAGGAAATTAAACAGCCTTTTTCTATGCCACGGCTGTGACGGGGACTGAGCGGGCTTAACAATGACACTGGGGGACAGGGCAACCTGGGAGGGCTGAGAAAAGCTCTCTAGCGTTTTACAAACACCACAGTGCTCCTATAAAATGGCTCATTTCCACCCTGTGGTGGAGCCGCCAACCTCAGCAACCCAGGGCTGTGGGCGGCCGTGATTTATGAGCGTGTAGTGCCTGTTCTCTACCTTTCATTCTTTCCTCCTCACCCTCTTTCCCTCACCGTGTGAGTGTTGCAGGGCTCAGCACAGGAGTGACAGAGAACAGAGGAGGCTCATGTTGTCACTCTCCCAGCCAAAGCTCAGAGCTGTTTTCTGCCCTCTGAGCTACCTCTGTATTAATGAGCTCTGAAGCAGGGCAGACTGCCGGTCTCCTCTCCACTGCAAGTTAAGAGACTGTTAGTAGACATCACATAGAGAGAGTGCGAGAGAGGAAGCCTGCAAATTACAATTACTGTAAGGCCACCAATAGGGATGTAGAAACCATTAAAACTTACAAAAATCAAATCTTGAGAATAATAGCACACTGTGTCGAAATTTCGATATAACTTATGAAAGCCGAAATGTTATTACAAATTTCCAAAAGCAGAAACATCACTACATGTGCAATAGAAATTGTATAATACTGTAGGTTAATGAAATTTCGGCATTCATAAATTGTAACTATTTATTTTTGTCAATGTAGTCGATGCTGAAATTACGACAACTTACAATTATGGTAATGTACCAAGCAGCAAATATTACAACCTGGGAGGGCTGAGAAACTTACAAGTGCAGAAATTTCATAACGTACCAAAACTAAATAACCCTATAACTTTGCATAGGACAAGCAGTTTGGAGAATGGATGGATCATTATAACTTATGAACATAACTTCATCAACTTTGTTGAAATTTCAAATATCAAAAACGGAAATTACATAAAAATATCATAAATTGTATACAAATGTTGTAATTATAAGTTAATAATTACTCTGTAAGTTGTACTGTAACTTCAAGTTATGTATGAAAAATCTACAACTTCGAAATTTTATAACTTAAAATAACAAAATAACATTGCATTTATGAACGTAGAAACTTAACCATAACTTGAAATACATTTACAATGATTGAATTATGTTTGAAAATATACATTTACTTTACATATGATTAAAATATCTTGCAGTGTCAAATATTGCAACTTATGAACACAGAAATTCTATGTACAAATGTGTAGATATTTATGTTTATTCTCCATATTTGGGAAATAAATCAACACCCAAACGTTATTGTGATGCAATTAAACAAACACCTTACAGAAGTCATTACAATTCACAATCAGACTGAATATTAGCAGTTGAATGTAAACTTGTACGGATGTATAAGGTTTTATCAAAACCTTGTACACTGAACAAACCATCTCTGGAACTGTTAATTCCATTTTTAGCATTACCTCTCTCACACACACACAAACAGTTGTGACAGGAGGCAAAATTGATAGTGCCCAGGTCTACGATCTGACACCGAGACACGTTTGCTCCTATTTGTTGATTACTATTGATTTTCTTTGATACTTCATTTAAAAATCAATAGCTGGAAGAGAGAAAAACAGGCATGCTTTACACATACTTTAACATACTATTGTACACTAGAGAAGCCTTCAGTTTTGGCAGCGTGGTGGCAACCAATTAGGAGAAAAGCTCTTAACAGGTGAAAGTGTGGGGGGGGCTAACAGATCGATTCTCACTTTTTCCTCCCCAATCACAGAGAGTGGCCATAAATTAAGCTCATCAGTGTTGCCGTGTGGACAGCCGGGATGCACATCGCCTCTGCTCTCCATCTCCTTGTCACTCATAAAGCTCTCACAAGCAGCAAGACCACCCTTTAGCCACACAGAGGAAGAGAGAGACAGAGATGGAAGAAAGAGAGGAGACTGTGATCGCATCACCTTGAGTTCATGCGTGCCCGCAGTTTCTTGGCCTTTTTCCGAGCTTTCTGCCTCTCTTCGCCCTCTTTTGCACTGTCGGAGGGCACGCTGCTGTCAGTCATGATGTCCATGATGTACTTTTTTAGAGACAAGTGTTCCTGTTGAAAAAAAAACCAAAAGAAAATTTTATTATGTAAATGTTGCTTTCATATTAGAGCAGATTTGTTTGACTAGTGTGAAAGGTGATTTTCAAACATTTTTGGGGGTAATTTGCAACATAACATGTGTTAAAGTTTACTTGTTTGATGTAATAAGTAAGATGTTACTTGTAATTTTTGTTTGCATCATAATAATACTTCTGTTACTTTTTGAACTAAGCTGTCGATGACTGTTGTTGTGTTTCAATTTATTGCCATATCAGCTTCACTGGCTATTTACAAGGCATATACAGATTAAATATTCAACAATATAATATAATAAATACAATATAATAATAAAAATAAACATTTTATCAAATTCAATAACGAAAAAAAAGAACGTTTTTTTGTGTCCATCTTTCAAAGTCCTTAAAAGTTTGTCCTGAAAATAAAAATCATATCACAACATTAAAAACCGGGCAGACCAAAAACATGTTTTATACACACACACTAAAATAAACAATGCATTTTTACATAACATATGAGTAATGCAATAATGTAACGCATTATTTATAAAAGCTAATATTCAATAGCACAGCTTCTGAATTTGTGTTATTTTAGTATTATTTATATAGCATATTAACATTTGCAATTTAGCATTCACTTTCATATTCTCACTTTTCATTTTAATATTAGCTTGATTTAGTAAATTTCTTATGCACTTTTGTCATTTTTATTAGTTTTTAAATGTCATATTTTTATATAGCTTTATTTTTATTTAAGATTAGTTAGTAATTTTAGTACCTAAACTTTTTATTTCGGTTTCATTTGAAGTTTTTCCATCTAATATTTATATTTTATTTCAGCTTTATTACAATTACAGGAAATTATTTTTAATAGATCAAATTGGAGTTTGACCTGAAGCAAACAAGTGTGAGAAAGGCATTCAGGAATTCAAATCATGAGAAAGGCATTAGTATAAAAGACAAGTATTAAACTAAGGAAATTAGGATGAGATGGCTTAATTAGAAAGTTGTATGTGATACCTAGAGTGAAACCTTCCTTTAAATCAGCCCATATTTTGCCAAAAATGTACATTAGATTGACATGTTTTACATTCTATATACATTCTTTACAGCTCCACAGAGAGACCTCTCAGTTCAAAGCCATGCGCATCCAGAAAAATCCCTACAGGACAATAGAATGATGACACATAGGTGTGGCAGAACAGAGCGACAAGAGAGGAGATCAAACATCAAACCGTCAATTCCACCAAGCACATGTCCAAAGGCTGGGCTTCAACTCCCACACTAGGATGTAAAGCAGAGCGCCTTCATTGAAAGACCAGGTGTTAAGCTCTTTGTGTGGCATGTAGAGTCCTCCCGGCCCAGGCATTGTGCTCCGCAATTATAAAGGCATCTCCTCCGCTCGCTGCTGGCATTAAGGCGGCGGAAGTGCTGAGGGGGGGAGAGAGGTATAGCTTTCCGTCTCTTTCTGATGATGCCGATATTTCCATGGGAAGAAAGACGGATGTAACTCAATTTCGAACGACGTGATGCATGTGCCAGAAAGCAATTATTCAATTATCCTGTCATCCGGCACCTCGGAGGATGGGAGCAGCGGGTGAGACAGATAAGAGTTCCCACTCGGAGTCGATACCTCAGAGGCTGCATGATAACGGAGGAGGGGGGCCAAAATCCTACTAAGTTGATTCTGGAGGTTTAGTATGACTTCAATAACTTGGGTACGTGCACTAGATGAGGCAACTATTTGTGACCCTGGACCACAAAACCCGTCTTAAGTCACTGGGGTATATTTGTAGCAATAGCCAAAAATACATTGCATGGGTCAAAATTATAGATTTTTCGTTTATGCCAATAATCAGTAGGATATTAAGTAAAGATCATGTTCCATGAAGATTTTGTCAATTTCCTACTGTAAATAGATCAAAACTGCTTAGTAATATGCACTGCTAAGGACTTCAACTTTAAAAGGCGATTTTCTCAATATTTAGATTTATTTGCACCCTCAAATTCCAGATATTCAAATAGTTGCATCTCAGCCAAATATTGCACTATCATAACAAACCATACATCAATGGAAAGCTTATTTATTCAGATGATGTATAAACCTCAATTTCAAAAAAATCGACCCTTATGACTGGTTTTGTGGTCCAGGGTCACATCTATCCTCATTTCAAGTTATATTTACAAATGAAGACTATTTGTCAGAATCAATGGTATCTTGAGTGTACTGCCCTGATGATGGTAGAAGAATATTTTCAGTAGTTTTTTTTCATAGTGAGCATTTACTGGCAATTTAAAGGTTTGGTTTTAGTCAGACTAAAGCAATAACGGTAACACTTTAATATAGGGACCAATTCTCACTATTAACTAGTTGCTTATTAGCATGCCTATTATTAACATATCGGCTGTTTATTAGCACTTATGAAGCTGCATGACCATATTCTATATCCTTAATCCTACCCAATACCTTAACTTAAACTCCTAATTTGCTGCTTTATAATAGTTAGTAAGGGAGTTTTTGAGGCAAAAATCATAGTTAATAGCGATAATTGAACGTTTAAATAAAGTGCGACTGCAATCACTTTTTTTAAATGCCACGTAAATACTTAAGACCACTGTTTTTTTGGCAATGTCAGACTAAAGCTGCATTGACGTTTGGCTAAATTTAGCAGACAAAAAGTCCATGGTCTCATCAATAGTTTAGCGATGTATCAAGCACATCTTACACGAAAGTATATGGCAAAGCCAATGCAGAAAATTTGGCAAATATGCATTGGGAAATCTTTCATTCTCATGTGAAATTTCTAATCGCATAGATTCCTATAAAAATGACTGTGAATGTGGCTGCACAGACAATGCGATTGATTACACATCAGATTAACGTGTAATGTGTTGTGCGTTTCCTCCAATGACAGAGATGATGCAAAATGTGTATTTAATGCTTCAAAAATCTGCGGTAGCTTGATTAGATTGGTGCTTGTAAACATACTTGCACAAAGTTCTGAAAATTAAACATTTTTAATTTTGTCATAGTTTACTCACCATCATGTCATTCCTGTATGACTTTGTCTTCTGTGAAACACAATGGAAAATATTTTGAAAAATGTCTCATCCCGAGTCCCAAATCACCTACTCCTCATACTAAAAGTATGTATTCTTTTTGTGAAGAAAATGTACATACTTTTAAATGAGTAGGAAAATAATAGGCAAGCTTTGGGACGTATACTGACGTCATATTTACATGTCACCATTTAAACTGCCCTGTCAATCATCTTGACATAAATAACATCCTTCAAATTTCGTTTCATTTCATTTCACACCATATTGGACAGAAACGAACGGACACGTTGACCTACCAGTCGCATGTCTTTCAAGTCTGGAACTCACCTCATATGTTTGCATAATGACGCATTTAACGGTTAACGACCAAAACGCATCTTTATAATAGTTCACAACATCGTTGCAGATGAAATATAATGTGGATAATATTACATTTTTTTTCCCATCAGGTTAGATACAGATTATTATTCACTGAAAACTATTTATCTAAACCTTTATACTTAACTGTCGGCTTCGCACATCTGCCATGTTTGTAGTTTAAGATTTTTTATTCGTCTAATCGAATCCTCGTCCAATGCAAATTATTGTGGGTTGATAGAGTGTGAATGTATCTGCACTTCAAATTTTCAACGTAAACCATCCTTCGGGACACTCATTTCACCATACTATGATTTGGGTCACACTAATGCGGACAGACATTGTACAGACTTTTTTCTTGTCTGTACAATGAAAGTCAATGGGGTCCAACACTGATTGAGACGAAAGTCAGAAAGTCATACAGGTTTGCAATGACATGAGGGTGAGTAAATGATCCCAGAATGTTCTTTTTTTTTTATAGGTATAGTTCACCCAAAAATTTAAATTGTCAAAGTCGTTATTTTTGTTGTTGTTTTTTGCGCAAAAAAAAGTATTCTCGTAGCTTCGTAAAATTACGGTTAAACCACTGATGTCACATGGACTATTTTACCTTTACCTTGGGCCTTGAATGTGGTAGTTGCATTGCTGTCTATGCAGGGTCAGAAAGCACTTGGATTTCATCAAAAATATCTTAATTTGTGTTCCGAAGTTAAACCAAGGTCTTACCGGTTTGGAACCACATGAGGGTGAGTAAATAATGACAGAATTTTCATTTTTGGGTGAACTATCCCTTTAAGATAAAAGGCTACGGAACATTTCACCTGTTTTATTATCTACGTCAGATCAGTATCATTTATGCTCAGAGCCAAGGGTGAGGGATGAGTTATGTGCTCAATATTTAGGGATTTGTTCGGAGACAACGAACAACATATCTGAATAAACATCGACTCCCTGTTTCTTCTAACAGCTCTTCACAGGTCCATTAATGCTGAACAATAACGAAGTGAACAATAACAACGTTTTAACGACCACAGCCTCGAATGCTTGACACCTGTCCTTAATGAATTACTTTGAGACAAATGTGACAAATTGCCTCATGGCCCTCCATTTGAAATCTGTAGATCTGCATCATATAGTGTTTCAAGTGGACGAGCTATTGTGTGTGCTGGACAGGGCGTCCACCCCGAGTCCCTGGGGAACAGGAGTCGAGCCTGCAGTCATAACCATTGCCTCCCTGTGGCCAGAGAGGCATCTGTTGAGTAATCTCTCTGAAAGGCGATCTAGTTCGCCTGCCGTTCACTTAATGGGATTGTTTCTGTAACACCTCAAAGACGTGCACCATCTTGAGATTATAAAGAGGGGTTTGGAGGAGAGGGGAGCACCACAAAAACAGATCTGTGAGGAGATCAGGGCTGGAGCTAAGCTCGTAATGTGCAAGTGAACAGAGGAATTGAAAACAGTTATGGCAAATAGTCACCATACTGTTGATACCGTGTCCGGCCGGAGCGACGAGACAAAAACATTAAAACCCATTACAAACGAGGCATTTGTTGCATCCAGTGGGGACATAATTACTGA